TTTTGTATCTCTGTGAAACTTGTCCCGTACCATCAATGTCTGAAGACGATCTAATTCACCAAATATCTCATCCAAGCGTGTCCCGGTTAAAGAGAAATTCGCACTTTTGTGTCTCGCAAAATGACGTGTGCGCGAGTAAATCGAATTTTACGAAGGATGGGTGCGCGAGTCTAACATATTTATATTCATTTTAAACAATTCTGCAAGCTAGACACAATATTGACTTTGTTACAAGGTGATTTAAAAACATATGAAAAGCATACCTTTCTCCCTTTGCAGGAAATATGTACGCCTGCTACCACTGTCCACCAGGAACCTTGCTTTGGGGACAAATGCATGGTAGTGACGGGAATCATTACCCAAACTATTTTGGGCGCAAATCAATTTTGTATTTGACTTTCTATTATGCTGTTCTTCAATTGTTTTTTACAAATGGAGGATCTGAGTACACGAAAGCTCATATTATATTGCTACATTTATAGCGAACATTGATTTCTGAGTCTGTAAAAACAAAGTATGTGGGATCACCCTTGGTATAAGACGAAATGGACCGGTATGGGTCAAAAGCTGGACCTGTACGGGTGAACTTTGGGGGTACTTAAAATCATTCGGAGGGATCATATATTTCAACTTAGATACGAAGAAGTCAATATTGAGCAAGTTATAGCTGTTTTAAATTCAAATAAAACCGTTAACCCGTACCGGTCCAGCTTTTGACCCGTACCGATCCATTTTGTCAGCTGCGTATACCAAGGGTGAGGATGCGGAAGAAGTTAGAAGCTCCTATAATTATTTGATATTACTTGGTATCATGGGCTTCCCCTTACTATTCCTTACATGGTTCTGATCGTGGCGGATGCCGAGTAACCACATAACAACTCTGACCCCCCCCCCTTGTATGGGATGTCAATAAATGAATATGCTGCCGGTTTTATGAGACCGCCAAAAATTTAATTCAATTTTTGGTTCAAATTTTAATTCACCTGCAATGCCGGAAAGCCCTACAAGCTATTTCAAAACATTTATTGTCATTAAACGTAGACATGTATGTGCCATACACGAAACATCTACAAAATAGCAAACTATTCTTTAACATACTACTTTAAGATGACAAAAACAAATGTCACGTGAGTTGTATTCTGCCTTAGCTTTCAGAATTGTCTCAAGTGAATAAAAATATTTTAGACTCGCGCACCCATCCTTCGTAAAATTCGATTTACTCGCGCACACGTCATTTTGCGAGACACAAAAGTGCGAATTTCTCTTTAACCGGGACACGCTTGGATGAGATATTTGGTGAATTAGATCGTCTTCAGACATTGATGGTACGGGACAAGTTTCACAGAGATACAAAATCTTAAAACATGTAAAAAGTGTGATTACAGGCCTCAAGCGAAAGAAAATGCGAATCACTCGCGCACACGTCATCCATGAAGTCACGTGACAGACTATACCCAGGGTGTTAGAGTTACAATTATTATGTGATTAAATGTACGGAATGTAAAAGTCATTAATATAAATTAAATCATGCAATAGATTTAAAACTGATTTCGCGATGAAAATGCAAGACCGAGTCCAATGTAGCGGGTCATGTAGTCGATCCAGGGGTGGATCTGGGAACCAACAAGGGGGGGGCCCAAACATTTTCGTCTGAGAAAAAAACGACCGCGCTTGCGCGGAAAAAATTTTTGGGCCCGTAAAACCAAAATATGGGCCCAAATTTTGAAATTTTGAGGCCCATTTTCTTCAAAATTTGGCCTTAAATTAAAAAATCAGGCCTTAGAAGGCCCATTTATGACAAAAAAGGCCCACTTTTTGGGGCCCCAAGGCCTTTTTTGGCTCAAAATTTTTTTTGGGCCGAATTTTTTTTTCTGGGCCCACCCGAGGGGGGGGGGGGGGCCCGGGCCCCTGGGCCCCCCCCAGATCCGCCAGTGCGATCAGTGATTGAATCTCAGCCTACATGTTCATTTGAATTCAGCGATCGTTTTAACGTTTATTGTTGAAATCTTCTCACCTCCGGTTACCGATCGATGCTCCGGCATCCACTAAACTCTGATTGATATTTATCTGATAAAATATTTGTATTTTCATGATGAATTCATGCAAGATTTGTTCGTGAAAAGTCCCGGCGAAAAGTAAAAAGTGTACTTGTTTTTGACCGTGCATAATAATGAGCTAACGCTGCAGGGCCGTCGTTGATTGGTCAAATTTTACCGACATAAACATTGAGTCGGTAAAGCACGTGGCTTTCTCTTTGGTACAAGGCGGTCATAATAGAAATCAAGATAGTAAAAGAGACCGACTTGGGCAAGGCTAGTAAATCCTGTAAACGATTGAAAATCAAAATGGTAAACAAGTATGGTAAAGACTGTAACCATATGGATTTTTCTGAAATTAGTTAGTTTAAGATTTTAAGTCACAATATTGAAAAAGCATTTATAAATGCCTTTATATGATATAAAAGAAAATGTAGTTGCATTGTTGTGCAATGGTAGAACCATACAAATTCATCAAGGACGATTTGGAAACTGAGGAAAACGTTAATATAGAGGTTTTTAAAAGAAAATTGTACAACGATTTTTCAGCTGTTTTTCTTCAAGATGACATATTTCATGAGTTAATACATATATTCAGAAGAAGGCACATGAAATGCTTGGGGCGGGTGGGGATGCCGACTCTATGGAGATGTATACTTGAGACACTTACTGAATGAACCCTGTGAACCGTGAATAATCAATTCCCTTTATATTTGGAGCTAGCAATCCTCCATGTGTAAGGTTATTAAACAAATGAAAAAACACGCGTCTCGAACTCGCAACCTCGTGGTTACGGCGCCCAATCGCCTAGCCTGAACGTGCTGGCGCTCAATCCCTTTCGGCCAACTCCAAAAAAGGTTGTTTTGTTAGTCGATCTGACTAGAGGCAGCTGATGTTAACGCTCAAACACACCAGAGGAAGCACAACAGACTTCCTTACCCATTTTCCCTTTGGCATTTGCGATTATAAGATACAAGATAAATTAGAGAGAATTCGCAATTCACTTAAAATTATCAATCCCCATTCTGGTATGCCAGAGCCCCTCTTACCTGCCGTTTGCGAGTGAAGGAGAAAGACAAAGGGGGCGCGGCTATCGCGATGATCATTCCCGTATAACGTATAACTTATGGAGTGTTTGATTACGACACCATTTATTGCGCAGCTCTAGTCGTCCATAAATGTGGAATTCTTACGTGTAGACGAAGATTGATAAGAATATCACATTCATGGATGAACAGAGCTGCGCAATAAATCGTCCCTTCACTATTAAAAAGTTCTATGTCCACTTGTACCATATTTGAGAAAAACAGAGAACAAACATTTAGGTTCCCTTATCTTTGTGATACAGTAAAGTAGAATTTTGACATAAATGCTTATGCATCATATAGCCAAGATGAATCATTCCTGATCAGGATGCCAAGAAATGTCAATGTTTAAGGCTTCTTTTTAATGAAAATAGTTTTGGAGATAGAACTTTTTGCGTCTGTAACTGTAACACAACAATGAGTTTAAATGATGGAGAACCTTTTATTATCCTGGAATACAGTACTTGTCAATTAGATGAAGCTATATTTGCAGAAGCAAGCCAAACTATTGCGAAGAGTAACCTTTTAACTATCGAGATCGAACATGACAAATCATTTTAACATTTTTACAAAATTCTGCTACAAAAGGTGGGTGCCATTTTGTAAAATCCAGGCGTGCCTGCAAAAGAAAAGACCACACATTTTGCAATGCTCATAAAGGTGCATCTCATTCAGCTAGTAATCTAAAACTTCCTCTGGAGCAGCTCCATGGAGTAAAGTTTTACTATGCAAAAGGACAAGTCAGAATTTATGCAGATAAAAAAGTTATGCAACATTATGTGGGGGGGGGTAGCATTTTGTCTGTCTTACACTGGATATAGTATGAAGTTAAATGTAAACAGGTTTTATTGACAATATTTGACATATTGTTGTAGACTAAGTAATTAACATTATTACCACCTTGCCGGGCCAGTTCTAGGGGTTTTAGTGCTAGTTTAGAAGGCATTTATTTTACTATATCGACCTGAGAAATGTGTGACGTCATAGTGGTGGTCCATATGGACCGGTCTAGAATATATTCTGGACCGGCAATTTTCCCCGGGAAATTAGATATCGTTCAATGCGTAAGATTTTCTTGCTGTTTCAGTCCTGGTCGTTAACGGTGGTAATAATACTAATAACGTCATTTCTGCGAGCAATATAGTGAAATATTGGACCTTGGGCCTTCGGCCCTCGGTCCAATATTTCACTATATTGCCCTTAGAAATGACGTTATTGTACTATTAGCATATATCAGGGAAGGAGTTGATGCATGAACTGGCAACCCTCCAGTGTCAAACTATTTTCAATCATTTCAATAGACCAGGATTAAAATGCAGCCAATACCGTGCACTTATTCATTAAAACGATTTATTCGTCAACTTGTTCGTGAAAAATATATCTTGCAGATTTGTTGAATTTCCAGCAGAAATCGGCTACTCCCCCCTTCCGTTAATTTTTTCTGATTACCGGGCGTGGAAACGTGGTAGCCCCGTGTTGTCTACAATTGCAAAATCTACATTATAATGTTTAAGTAATACCATATTTGAAATCTTCTGATCAAACGGGCAAAACGTTGACCAAATCTGTTGACTAGTATTTGCGTTATCATAAAAAACATATTTTTCAAGAAAAATGGCTACCTTTTTTAATTTAGCTTTCATTCTTGAGCAAACCCCAGTGCATTACGTAATACCACGTGTTCATATTTTCTTATAATTTTGTGGCAGGCTGCACCGGACAAAACTATATTCTGTATTCATTGTTAACTTGCGATATGTTGAGTATAGCATGCAGGCTGCACCGAAACCGACGCATATCTCATAAATTGCAATGACATAGTCGTTTCCTTTGATGGAATACTGAGGCAGGTCGCTCTGCTCAACATTGTGTCAAAATTGCTTCATCCTGTTTACTGATGACAGTTTACCATTCTGTTATTGGGAGCCTATTCATACAGGAGTAGGCTCATAGTATATAGGAATCGCTAAGTTGCCAAATTTTATTAATAGTACATGTTTTTTTGTTTTTTTTAAATTTATTTCTATCATTCATTAGCATACAAATCAATATTTCAAAATGAAATATTTCAAAAACTTTAAATACATTTTCTCAATCAACAATGTTTCTAACATATTTTTCATATTCAAACATTACAGATATATTTTTTCTCTCATTCTTTGAAAACTTAAAGTCATGTATAGTTTTCTTTATTACAAGTGACTTGTATAATAACTTTTTATCTAATATTCCCATCCCTATTTTTTCATTATCATTCAAAGCTACATCTTTCCAAATATTTTTAATTGCATTACAATGTATAAAAAAGTGTTCAATATTATCAACTTCGTTACATAGTTTACATAAATCAGATTGTTCTATGTTATATTTTTTTAATAAACCACCATGTGGATATATACCATGGAAAATTTTCCATTGGATACTTAAAAGACCAGTGTCTGACGTACATTTAAATAGCTGATTCCAAATGTCTGAACCAATAGTCAAACCATTAAATTGTACATCACACTGCCTTTCTTTTACAAGCTTATTCCTGGTTTTCTGTGATGTTAATTTTTCAATTTCTATCCCTCGAAATACTAGTGTTTCACTGGCTTTTATATTACCATACATATGAATTTTCTCTTGATTTAAACAAGCTCTTAAAATGTTATATTGCATTAAAGTTTCAGCATTTTTTCCTATTAATTCAGAAATTACCTCATATGGTTTTAAGTGTCAATTCACAACAACATCTGATATGTAGATTAAACCTTTTTCTATCCACTTGTGAAAGTACAAGGGATATCTACTTAATACAATATTTCTGTTATTCCATATTATAGATTCATCTGTATAATTGCTATTCTCAAGCCATGTAAATAATAATTTTTTATAGAAAATGCTCAAATGAGCGATACCTTTCAACTGATCAGCACTTATATTGCTGTTGAGAACACTAAACTTTTTACCTAATTTTCCATACATATACTCTGGTATAGCTCTCCAGTGGCCATCGCCATTCTCTGTTAATCTTTTAATCCATTGAATCATGTATGCAATTTGTAAGTCTTTACAGTTAATCATTTTTAAACCACCACAATCATAGCCTTGTACTAAAATATCTCTTTTTACTTTATCAGGCACCTTTTTAAGGTCTTCCTCTTTGAATTTTCCTTTTGCCCATATGAACTTGAATATCATGGTGTTAATTCTATTTAACAATTTATCTGGTAAAATAAATGATTGCATTAAATACGAAAATTGAGATAGCAAAAGTGATTTAACAATGGCAATTTTACCCATAACAGATAAACTTCTGCCATTCCATGATTTCATGATATTTTCACACTTGATAAATTTTGGTTCAAAATTAACATTATTTTCAACAACACTTGTTGAAGGACTAAAGGTAATTCCTAAAATCTGTATACAATTTTCTGGATATTTTTCCATTTAATTTCACCAGGAATGTCCTTTCGATTTTTCCACTTACCTTGCCACAAAGCTTCGGTCTTTTTAACATTTAATTTTAAACTCGACACATCATAAAAAGCTTTAAAAATAGTACATGTATCTAAAGTTTTATGTAACTTAAACATATTCTAATATCATATTTTAATCATACGTGTATTGTCATGTTCTTAAATTAATACTTGTGTTTTAACAAGTGTATTTTATTTACTTACTTCCTCAGTTACAGCAAGAATTGTCTATTCTCTGTTAGTTAGCCACTTGTGTTTTGGCTGACTTAGAAGGTACTATAGCCTATATTCATCCACCCTGCCACCACCTCCGGGGTAAATATCTCCAATTGCATGACATTATAAAATTATATAGCGATATCTTTATAATATTGTGTCAGGCTGCACTGTACCAAATTATATTATGTATCCATTCTTTATTTGGATTGGTTTTGGTAATATTCTGTATTCATTGTTAACCTGCGATATGTTTGGCATAGCAGGCTCCATCGTAAACCGACTCATATCTCATAAATTGCAATGACATAGTCGTTTCATTTGATGGAATACTGAGACAGGTCGCTCCGCTCATCAGTGTGTCAAAATTGCTTCATCCTGTTTATTGATGACAGTTTACCATTTTGTTATTGGGAACCTATTCATACAGGAATAGGCTCATACCATATGAGAATCGCTAAGTTGCTAAATGTTGTGTATTGTAAATGTTGTATATGTATCTAAAGTATTATGTAACTAAAATATACGTCGTATTCTTATATCTGTTTATTGTGTATTGTCTAAAATTGACTTGTATTGTTTAAATTGACGTTTTACTCAATTCTGCAATATTACTTCTTCTGGTTTGTCTCCATAGCTTGTAAATAGTGTTCCAGTACTGTGACTGTGATTGTTAAATACTAATTGCATTTGGTATCTCACTTGGAGATAGGTAAGGATATTTGTTATCCCTGGTTTTGTTTTTCGTTTTGATCTCTTTGTCAATTTTTGCCAATTCTTCACGAAAACTGAAACAGGAGTAATTTCGTATTATAGGACTATATAACCTACATTTGTATTACGAATAAATCATTTTAGCATATTGGTAGTTGCACTCATTCCAATTTCTTATAAACAATTTAATTAATTAATTTAATAATGAGCAATTAAGTATAATAACTTAAACTGATATAATATCATACCTTTTGAGAGCACTTAGTGTGATAGGATCATGACAGTATTGAACTTCGAAGTCACCTAATGCATTGGTCCCTCTACTACTTAATATCTTGGTAAGTATCAGTATGTCCAATGTTTCGGATTTTGTGGGGAGTGCGTTTATAATATCTTCTTCTGATCTGGGTTTCTGTTAAAACAACATTTTATAAGATTGAAACATCGAGAGAAGTCAAATGTAATCCAAGGTGTTAAAATTATCAGGATTAATGTTGATAGGCTTATGATAAATTAAAATTATAACTGGTAACTCAGCTTATATTACAAAGTCATTGTGTTAGTTACTCAGTGGCTTTGACCTCAGTCATATTTGCCTAACGGCAGCAGCAAATCGATATGGAAGATCCACACCATATTAAACATTTATAAAGTTCCAAGACTCATATACCTTATCAGTTGGAGGATCGCCGTGCAAAATTCCAGGATAGTTTGGTGGGAAAGCGGATTCATCATACTGTGAGAAATTAACTGCTGCATGCTGCACACTGGCTTGGAAAATCAATGGTGTCACGACGCTACAAATATCCTCAGTTTCGATCAACTTATTTGGAAGACCCTATGCAAAAAATTCTTCCATTGATTAAAACATATTCGGTTTAGAAACATAGCCAGTTGTTTTTTCAAATAAATCGGCTTTGTAAACGAATTTAGTTAATGTTTCATTACATTTAATCCAGGACCCTCTGGGGGCGTCTTCAATTCTTGGATCCAATTATGCAGTTCGTAATCATCTAAGATCTTCTGTGGTGTGTCGTATATACCAGATACGACTGCCTTTACATATTTCTCTATGGCTCCATAAACGAGAAGAGCATCATCCCTGTAGTGGTAGTTAGGCAACGCATCTGCATCATCTACCTGAAAAAACAAAGCGGGGTTCACTCTAGGTTGGATATTTTATTTTTGCTTCTTTTGAACCATGCCAATGTGTAAAATCACTCATGAAAAAACACAAATGCTATTTGTATATGTGATCCCATATACAATCTTACTTTTGAAAGATGATATCACTGTTCATGGATTATCATTAACTTATGTGTTGGATGTGAGAGAAATGAAATAAAACATACTCCTCTTTTTTTAATATCACGAGGAAAAGTTCCTTCTTGATCCAACCTCCACTTTGACCTGGCTCGCTTGACAATATTTAACGAGCCAGTGCTGCCCATAGTCATTGTCTTGTCCAACCAGCCTCCGGGCAATAACAACTTATTCAAGGCTAGTCTGCCATAGAACAAAAGAAATGTTGCAATACATACGAAACACACTTTTAAAATTATCAATTTTCATCATTTTTTTTCAATTCTTAGATATTGATTCCCCAAAATTATTAGGCTTAATTGTTTTACCGTTCGTTCATAAAGGGTCGAACAATATTTATTTTCTTATGGGTTAAAGTCACTTGAAATGTAAAACGAAGCCATAAGAGACTATGTACATACGACCTTATACAATATACTCACGTGTTTATTGCAATTAGATAAAGAAAGTGTGGTACCAGTAAACGGAAGAGCGGATGCGATGGAGACAACTGACGATGGGTTACCACAGCGACAAATTCGAGCGTTAAATGTGTAGATCCTAAAATAATATAATTTATCTAAAAGATAATCAATCATCGACGTTAATGGTCGAAATGTCTATCACACGATCTGCCATCTTACCAGGCAATCTTAATCAATAAATAATAATTATGCAATTGGATTTATGAAATTAATAACAGTTTGTTGAGGGGAGTAGTACATATGAAAGTATAGAACAAATGAAGTAAGAATGATCCATCCCCTGGACAAAGATCACATGACTGATGTCAAGGTCACGAGGTGTCTGGGACTTAATTATTCCACTGAACTTCAAAGAAGTATGACTGCTGAAAACAACCCTCAACCCACCCTTGAACCAAGAAATATAGGGTAAAGTAGATAGCAATTGAACTATAATAAGGTAAGCCAAACAATAAAATATCGTAAGGGCGTATGTCCCACCTTAATTCAATGATAATCAATAGACAATTAGCCTAATTAAGCTAATTAAGGGATGTTTCAAAGTAAGTAATGAAACACATCACTTTAATTGGGCTAATTGAATTATCATTTAATTGTACTAATTAGGCTCCCTGGCGGCAAACTGTTAGAATCAGGATAAATATAAATGCTGAAAATTAAACTAAAAACTTTTGCCTCACAAAAATAAAATGTCGAACTTGATTTGTCTGGTCAATTTTTTAGATCCGAGCAACAAACTCTATTATATACTCATTTTACAAAAATATACCTATACAATACCTAAATGTACAGCAGACTGGTGATAGCAAGAGTCAGAGTTGTTGAACCACATCTTGGCCAACATCCATGTATACTCGGGGTCAGACGGTAAGAATATCTGGAAGCAGCACCAAACAAGTTTGAAATTACATAAGCTGAAATTGGTGAGCAGTGTCGGAAGGATGGTGGATTAAATATGTACGGGTTTGGAAACAAAGTATATTTAGGGTACTGTGTATCTACTAATCTAGCAGGAAAATTAGAGTGTTACAAAAGACAAAAACCCGTGCTCTGGTTATTTAAGAAGTTCATAGTGTAAAAATAGTATGGTAAGCTTGTTAATTTTAAGTGGTAAGTGTTCAAACTCATGAAGTGGAACTATACTTACAGGGTTCGAATCTGAGGGAGTCTGGTTGAGCTGAATGGCAATAGGCATAAACTTCTGTCTATTGTTCACATAGAATAAACCAATCGGGGCACATAACTGTGAAAAACATTAACAACTAGATGGGTTAAATTGAACAAGTTCAATTCAAGACTCCAGATTACAGACTTTTTATCATAGAAAAACTAAGACTTCGTCCTCTGATATTAATTACAAAATGGGAAAGAAACCATAAGCATATTCTTTATCAATTCTTAATTTCTTTCAGTTGACTTTGACAAATATTATAATGTATATTGTGTTGTTTTTTTTATCTTAAAAGCTCTGAAAGGTTAACCAGTGGCTGGATTACAATTTTGATTTCGGACTCGGAATCTTGAGCAAATTTCCTTTCAAATTATCAAATTGATACCAATCTTGATAGATCTGGAATACTTTAAAACCCTTTTCAAGACTCAAATTTGTCAAAATTGGTGAAATTTAACTTAAAAGAGAAATCTGACTTAAATTGACTTTTTATGGTCCATTTACTTCATATTGTTTAAACCTTTTATAAAGTCACAATAAATATCTTTAAAATTTGACCTTTTACTTTAAAAGGTCATTGAAGTTCATCCGGAAGTCGGATCTCAAATTGTGCATTCATAATCCTGAGTATATATCCTATCAAATTGTTACAAATCATGACAGATTTGGAGACATTTTTTGTTGACCTACTTCTGGGACGCTATCTCTCAAATCCGCAAGAGTAATCAAGAAACGAAGGGTCTCTTTCTGAGCTACATAATGAAAAAAGTCGAGAAAATAAACTATAACAAAGATAATTGTAAATTTGATTTTGAGCTTTGACCTAGATTGAAATTTGACCTAATTTCCGACCAAGACAATCACAAATCCTAACTAATCATATAATCAGATTTACTCAGAATCTTCTCGTTTAAGAGAAGATGTGTACAGATAAGAATACAGCCAAAAGCATTAGACTCTTGATTTTCAATCTGGAATCTAATAATATTGTTCATTGTATCAACTAACAATTCTAAAATCTGATCTTGGGAAGAAATCAAGCCAAGAGAAAATATTTGAAATATTTCAAATACTAATCCCGTTAAACTCCTTCAAATTTTGTCTTACTTTTCTGTTGTTAGTGCATTCAATGTCTTCTAGAATTTTGAAGTCCACGATGTAGATCCTTTTCTTGTCTAGGCAATACCTTAGAGTCTGTCCTTCAAGGAATGGTTCAATCATCTCTGGTGTAACTGGGAAACTGGAGGTAAAAACATGCCAGTGACCAGCCTTTTCACAGGGGTTCACTTTTCAGAAAAAAGAAAAATTCCAGTGGAGGGGGTTCACTTTGACAAATTTGGCCCAAAATCAAATGACAAATGCTCAGAATCGTGAAAAACTGCATGTTATGAAAGAATTTTTGGCCAGGGATGGAAAAAGAAAAGCAAATCCCCAAATTCCTGTCTATAAACTGACGCAGAAGTTGAAAATGTCCCCACGATTGATGCATCATTATCGCAATCAAAAACAAAGAAACTTGAATATGTCATTCATATTCAAGTCATTAAAATGCATGTTGCAGAATAAATGGTACCAAAACTCTCTTACCGATCGAAAATAGCTATAGAATACAGTTTACGCATTACAAGATGGAGCATTTAGCCTTAAACGATAAGTGGCAGGCAAAATATAAATACTGTTAATAACAGTTATATTACATTCATATTACTTACTTATTGGATATTTCCTGACACAAGCATATTGATACAGGATTACATCCAGTTAGTCTTTGGGATCCGAATTCAACATCACCTCTCCAGTTTTCTTGACCCTTTTAGCAACAAATGCCACAATGGTACAACATTAATGTTTCACAAATCACAAATTACGAATGCTTCGTTAACACTTAAAGGGGACCACCACCATGGTCACATGATCAGTCGTGTGGAGGTAAGCTCCCAGTTGATATAAAAGCACTGTCCTTCTTTGGTTTATGTGAAAAGTAGCTAATACCCTCATGTATTGGTCAGTTTGTGTGTCACACGACTAATCCACATCATATGATTCATTTAACATATTTTATGCTATTAAGCTGCATATAAAAACACTACTTTGCAGTAAAAACGTACTACTGGATGAACTAAGGTTAGGGTAATCAAATTAGTTGTTCCTCATTCTTGCCCGCGTGTGGCCCAATCCCCCTTCCACATTTTTTCTGCCATTTCTGAGAAAAAAACACCGAACCTCGCACGCATCCATGGCGTGTGAAACACTTTTTTTTAACTTTTTATGGATCAGGATAATTGACAATATCGTGGTTCTGATATATGATCAAATATACCAGTAAAGTAGGCTTAATTCAACATAAACTCAGTTTATTTCCTTCAAAATTAGTTATTTGTTTTTATAGTTATTTTAAAGAAAAAAAATCATCGCGTCCCTCATCAGCATTTTAGATAGACAAAAAAGGTAATTTAAAAACCGACATTCCCGTATCAATTTTGAAAAATAGAAGAAAGAGAAACAACTAATTTAATTACCCTGGCCTAACATAAAATACAAAGCCACTAGCTAGCTCATACAGTATACTTACCCCTTGCAAATTGTAATTTTTTGAATTCACAGTAAACCCATCAATTTAAAAAACAAAGAATATTGTTCTCATGGATCTATTATTCATGTTAAACTAACTATGAAAATATAAATATGAAATAATATGTTAGCTTGAAGTCATATATAAGATGAAAATATATGTTCATGCATTTGCTTTTTTCCAAAGGGAATATATTCCCATGTAAGTAAATACAGGTGCAATATATAATTTATATGTATATCTATGTCATCTGTCTATACATGCGCGTATAGTGATACATTTGAACAAGATGGTTCTGGAAAGAAATGAGCGTGGCAGATTTGCTAAAAAGCCACATACACCACAAAAGCAAGACCAATTTGAAAGTAAGTTCATTATTCTCAAGGGTACACTTCAAATGAAAGCTACATTGCTACAGGGTGGCCTATCATTCTGAGACAAATGTATTATCCAACGATTGTGATTTTCGAAGCTAAAATATGATATCTTGAGCAGATGGAAATACATTCCCATGAGATATGTATATATAGTCAAAAGTGATAACTATTTATTGAGTGTAATGAAATGTATCCTTCGCTAACTGCTTTTGTTTGAGATAATTATCATGAAATATTTTTAAATTAATTTTAATGTATGTCATTGATCCAAATCCACCCTGTAGTCTGGTGTTTGTAGAGCATTGCACCTCGTACAACTTATTCTCACAAATATCAAACCTCATTTACTAATTAATTTTTTGTGTGAATATGAAGAGTCCAAGCATTGCTTTTTTATGTTTACTGTATAGCTTTATTTAGCCTTGATATCCATGATTTTTTAAAACAAAATCTCACCGTTAGATTTCGAGCTATTCATGTTTACTCATTTTTCTAATTGGAAAACAATGCAAATCTCATTTTTTCAAAGGAAAAAAATTGAAATTCTAAGACGGTGAAAAATCATTAAAAAATACACAGATTCAGAATCCGGCAAGCATTTTCCCTTATTCCTCTCCGTTAAGAAGTTTTGTAAGGTGGTGGATCCCTTTAAACTAAATGATATTGGTGTCACTGACGGAGACTTGTTGTGTCAACTTCAACATATTTATACGAGGATTTTTGACTTTATACTCATTTTAATGTGCATAGTGACCTTCAATTGTGACCCTCAAAGTTTGGAAAAACTTTCTCAAGTATCTCTCTATATAATATATCAACAGCATTTGCACTTACAAAGGGAACTGGAAATGTCGAGCCATACAACTTTTCAATACCGTCCAGGGTTCTAAACTTGCCGGTCATCGATGCTATGAATTTAGCCGAAATACCAAGCTTCAGCTTTGTCTTCTGTATATCCCACTGAAATGAAATCAGATAACCAGATGTAACATATTTATAGGGTTTTGAGGAATATCATTTTTATCTACGAGGTGATATTGATATCTGTACGAGAGAGCAAAGCGAACGAGTACATATGATTGTGATATATGGTTTTAACCCCAGATTTCCAATTCTGAAATGTTATTGAACATACACGCACTCAATTTGTTTGTAAGCTTACTTTGTAGTCATTGGAGAAGGATTCATCGGCTGGCATCTCTAATATCTGAATATAAAACGTTATAAAGCAATGATATACATGTACTTATATTTAAAAATCTGCTTTCTATCCAATAACGCAAATAACATGTTAAAACTGTTATCTATTTTTGCTTTTGTTTTAAAACATACTTCATGCCACATGTCAGCATTTACATTTTAGGACTAGTTTACCTGGGCAGAGAGACCATCGTTTCGAACCTTAAGTTTGTATATTTCTTGTTTTTGTACCAGTTCCTTCTTTCGTTGTTCCGGATTGTTATCGTGTTGCGGTAATACGCAGTCAAACTCCTGTATCTGTATTCGGAAATTGGCAGGTATCCAACGATGTATTGGGAATACACTCTGGTCCTTATCTTTGGACCGTTCCACAACAACTTTATCGACATACCTATAACAATGACTTTAGTATAAAAATGTATGGAGAAATAGATATGTGACAAGGCCGCCATTTTTTAAAGGCTAGAATTAGCATTTGTGTTGCTCCCTAGATCTGTTTGTTGTGAATTATACAAAATAATTCGTGTTGGAAGACTAGAATCGGTATTTAGAAAACAACAGTTATCATCCATTGAAGTCATTAATCAATTAAAAATTAGTGGATTCCTGAATGGATATTGACTTTTACCGTGATTTTCTTAGTCATTCAAACTTCCCTGGGCAAAAAATGAAAATGATACAGCCCACTATTATGTTATAGGTCTGTTCTAGTATCAATTATCGACTATAAGGAACTCACCAATTATCGTTTGCTCTTGTGTTATCCCTCCAAATATCCAACTTTGCGATATGTTTGAAATCTGGGCAATCACTCACTGGAAAACTATCAGTATTTCCTGCCTCAAAGTCATCCTTCCACAACGTATCGAGTTCCAAATCCCGTGTCCTCGCACCAGCTTCGTCAATTAACGACACGAATATCTGTGAGTATTTATCAAGTTCACTTTAAGTACTCATTAATCTCCAGTATGGGTCTGTGGTAAATTATAACAAAACGTTTCACCCCTTTGACGTTTCATCCTTAGACAGCAGTCCACCCATTGGACATTTCATTCATTGAACATTTGGACATATTATGAGACGTATACGGGAGGTAACAAATGTATTTTCATTTTATTAAAGTGTTTAGACCTTCAAGGATTACTATTTTATGTATTTATAATCGTTGGTATAAATATTATATTAAAATGCATCGCCATAGACTATTACTTTACATAGTTTATATTGTTTGTTTTATTATATTTTTATAAGTAACACAAACAAAAAAACTGCATATCATCAGATTCTCAAATATTTTTAGAGCTAAACTTTTAGAGGTTTTTTAATGGGATACCTTGTGTAAACAATGAAATCATGAAAAAGCAGCGAAATCACAAGTTAATCATATGAATATATGAACGAGAAGCCATATATCACAGTTAAAACTTTTTCATGTGTAAACGTGAACCTTTATGATGACATGTGAAAATTGAAATGGTAAAATATATTTAAAAATGTGTGTTTCTTTTGAAATTCAATAATCATTGATAAACATTGGAATTTAAACAAACATTCAAATGTCTGCCATGTTTGGTTACCAAAATTAAGAGTTCTTCCGTGTTGTTTCACAATGTATTATACGTATACAGCCCAACAACAAGATCTAGCCCCAAGTTAACATTCTCCGACTTGTCTATATTTTGAAATAACATCAATATGTATATCGCATATAGAAAGTCATCTTACATTTCCATCAGTACCAGCTCCTTTTTTGTCACCAGTCTTCACATATATAACATAATCTTCAGTTTTAGAATTCTTTTGTCCCATCTTTATTTCGTTACCTCACTGACAGAAGTAATTGTGGTGATGATTTTTATCTATTTTCAAATGGATTTCACACAGATGGTTATTGCAATTGAGTTTAAAAGTGTATACAAGGGACCGTGTCATAGTTTACAGATAACAATGAGAAAAAAATTCCGCTTGATGTTTTTTAAACATGTCCCTGTAAATATACTCCTCAAAAAAGTTAAGGACCAGTGTATTTCTTCATAGGTTTATATGTTAGCCCCTATATTTGTTTGAACGACTATTTTCTAGGCTAGGAACAAAAGAAACCCCGACAAAGTAAAAAAAACTGAATCATGATTCTTCTCTCTATATAGTCTGCAAAATTCAATGTTATATCTCCATTACAATGGGTCAAAATTTGATGTCAAAATTGATGAATTTCATGAAATTTAGAAAAAATGGGAAAATAACATGGGAAATATTATTTTACACAGGTGAGTAGTTTGTTTGCATCTTCCCTGTCTCAAAGTCAAATTATTTTATCATCTCTAGCTGTGCTTTTCCACGAGGTAATGCATTTGTCGAACATATGCACCTGTTTAAATCCTCAGAAAATAGCCAAAATCCAACATATGACTGTCAGAAATCTGTTGCGATACTTTCCCTCCTCCTTTCAAAGTGTTTCAATTGGAATGTATTGAATTTCTTTGCAGATGTTGTATCTTAGGTTATTTTAGGTCTCTCGGCTTGGAATTAACATTAATATGTTTTTTCAAGTTACCCCAGAGAAATAGTCTGGGCAGTCATATTTGTTGAATAATGAGAGCCTCACAATGTCTTTATTCAGAGAGATCAGACATTGAAGAAACTGCTTTCATGGGAATTCTTGTGCATCGTCGCTTTCCACTCGGTCTAAAGACCCCTTGTCATAAAGGCCAATTTGTTTCTCCCATTCATGTGTGGCGCTTCATGGCCCGGTGTTGTCCACGGACCCAATTTGAAAAAATACATTTTTGACCTTGAGAATGTCATTGAAGGTCAAATCTCAGTTCTAAAGTCAGATTTGAACTTCTGATAACTTGTAGATGATTTTGAAAGAAAGAATTCGTGGAATTTGTGGTTCGCGAATAGAGAAATATGTTCGGGAAAGAGGAACAACTTGTTTCGCTTGATATTCGCGTTGTGAGAATCGTGGTTCGCGAGGTCGGAACTGATGATCGCATTAGTAGTGGAAGTGGGGCGCCTGCAATTGAAATATCAGGCCTAGACATCTAAAATGTAAATATTTTGCTCCGCATATTTTATGCAGCTGCTTGTTTTCAATATTGGCCAAATTCAACAGGTGCTTTTTTCAATTATTTGTGAACTTCAGCAGATACGTTACTTTATCATTGACCGTCAGTGGAATAGAATAGGATAGGTTTATCTATATCTTTAATAAAAGTTTGAGACAATAGTCATGAACTATCGATATTCGTCAACATACAATAAAGGACTCTCATCTCATAGATTTTGATCGATACTTGCCATTTTATTTATTCAGATGTGTTAGTTTCGTGGTGCAACGCACCGGAAGTAAGTACCGGCGCATAGGGGCCCTTGCCATAAAGAGGATATCCAATGAAATGATGTTTGATTGAATATCGTACACGAATATATCGTGTGTAGCATAACACCGCTACGTATGCACTATGCATTGCACTCACATCATGGTTTTGAAAAGATCGCTCACAACTTTATACTTTATGTAGTTTAAACTAAAAATGCTCTGACGTTTTAGTTTCGCTTCATAGTTTACACATCATAATACAGACTTTACGCATATGATGTTATGGATAATTACCTTGTCTTGATACAGTAACACAGATGTTTCAAACATTTTGTTAGTTTAAAAGATACAACCATTTTTAGTCATAAGATGTATAAAATAAAATGTACTAATTTTCTATACGTTTAATGTATTTAAAAGCATGCCTGTAGTATACTAAAGTTTATTTTGTTTTCTACTTCACCATGCATGATAAAATGTCATATTATATGCCATATATATACTTTTGGATCACCCCTCGTATAATGACGTAAGTCCATTTTTTATTGAATTGAAATGTTCCATAATTACACAAAATGGATGTACAAAAGCTGCCCATCGGACTCTATGTACGCCCTAGTTTCTTGTTCCAACCAAATAGAGTTAAATACTTATGGCATTTGGTATTTCACTTGGGCAAAGATATGGATATTTGTTGTCCCTGATTTCGTCTTTCTCTTTTATTACTTTGTCAATCACTGCCAAGTCTTTTCGGAAACTGAAAGGATATAAAACAAATACTTGTAACTTAATTCTAAAATACATAGAGTTTCCAAAGAATAGTTTTTTTGTTCATGTCATGCCGCTGTCATGGCAACGCTCTTAATTCTCAAAATATATTTGGCACCTTCTCTATCTCTGATCGATTTCATCATCAGTCACTGTTTATATATTTCAATCAACAGTATCTCAGAGTTGTTTTGAGCTTCTTATTAGATGATGAAATATTTGTACATTCTAATGAAAATATACAAAACACTTCGCGTATGACATACACCACTCACTGCGGTATAAACCCTCCTTTCAAAACATTACAAGACATAACCCTTAATGTTTTCATGTCACCACCAAGTTGTGACAAGCGTTCCGCGCATGTCGTTCCCTGCCTGTGTCGCAAACCAGTCGGAGTCTGTAACGATTAGCCGTGTGGGTTCACCTTTCGTCATTGTTTGGCTAATTTTGGGCATTCATTTCTTAATTAATTACAGTAATTGATTTTTGTATCTGTTGTGATTGGCGATATTTGTTACGCGGTATATGGCATACATTCATGGTTGCGCGGTATTTGTGATACGGGTGAATATGCCATACTCACCTGCGGTATATGGCATATTCCGTAGGTGAGTATGCAATATTCTGCAGTGAATATGCGATTCATTGATTTCAGTGAATACCCGATACTCACCTGCGGAATATGTCATACTCACTTGCGCAATATGCCATATACTGCATGTGAATATGACATATACCGCAGGTGAAAACGTGATACAGAAAGCCTTGATTTGATTGGTTGCGAGAATCGACTCTAAATGTAAAACTACGCTGGATTACCAATATCGTTAGTGCGTCGAGTACTAAATTAATACATGATTCCTGGATTGATTGAGTAAGTTTATTATGCGATATTGGTGACTAATACTTCTGCTAAGTGAATATATTCGATACACGGTACTGTTGATTCAGTAATCATTATAATAATTTATAACGTTTTACTTGTTCGTTCAATCGATGCACTTGACAATTGCATACTTCCGTATCACGTTCTCAATTGGTTAGTGTGTATGCCATATACCGCAGGTGAATCTGTCATACACCGCAAGTGAATATGCCATATTCGTTGCGGAATATGACATATTTTTGTATCGTGTTTACCGCGTAACAATATTTTGCTGTAAAACTATTTGTTTAGCCCACCATGTACCAATGCCCTGCCCGGTCTTCTACCCAAAAGCATTCTCACGGTGGCCAACGGTGAACACACACGGCCTAAAATGTGACAGCTCCATAAGTTTTGTAACGCTATAATGCCTTGTTATATTTACCTCTCAATGGCACTTAAGCAAATAGGATCATGGCAGTATTCAACTTCGAAGTTTCCCAATGCCGCAGTTCCTCGTGTACTCAATATCTGGGTGACGATCATAACGTCCAACGTCTGCGGTTTCGAGGGTAGTACCTTTATGATATCCTTCTCCGATCGTGGTTCCTAAAATGTTTCATAAGGCAATATTATTTCTTTAATTCATAATGCATATTACATGATTCATGGGAATAACATGCTAAATCATATTTATCCGAGTCGAAACATATAAACATATAATTTTATGTTGATCTTGCTCATAACACACTTTTATTACCTTATCAGTAGGGGGCGCACCGCCCAATGATGCAGGGTAGTTTGGTGGGAAGCCATATTCATCATATTGGGAAAAATTAGAAGCTGCATGCTGTACACTGGCTTGAAAAATAAGCGGTGTCAGAATGCTGCAGATGTCATCAACTGTTGCGAGCGTATCAGGCAGTCCCTGTAAAAAGCACCAAATCACTTGGTTTAACCATGCTTTGTTGGATTCCTAATTTATGTTCTTTACAAATATGAATTGATCCGTAATTTACGACTTTTACGAAGTGAGAAAAATCAAATGTTTCTTCTGCCCCGTGTCCCATTTTGCCCCGTTTTCCCCTATTTTTCCGCCTCCGTGGAATGTGATTCAGCAGCAGATTGACAAAAGTAAATTCTGATCAGCAGAAGGATGGACAGATCAAAGTTCCCAAAAACACAGGTAATGTCTTTTGATTTTTCAGTTCGTTTACCACGGACAACAACACATCCCATCTCTTATACGTCGTAGCACCGGAAGTTTACGACGTTATACGAGTATTTTCTGCTGGAGATAAGTAATCATCTATTTCGACGTTTTGACAGAATATGGTTCTTTTCTTTTCGTTGAACCATTGACCATACCATGTTTATAAAACTACGTCTCAACATTTCGTCTGGACACGGTCTAGAACTTCTCAAACCTTCTAGAAAGCACGACAATGTTTTATAAAAATTATCATTTTTTTACAAACCTCATCATAATTCTAACCATATCATCTTGAAACATTGATTCGATTAACCATACAATTTTCGTACATAGATAGACACTTCAGTTTCCAAAATCGATGAAAGAATTCCGAGAAATTAATTCTTCTTTGAAAGTGCACGACGTCAAGGAGGTATACGACATTCCATTGTAGATGTGTACGTTAAAGTGTGAGTTTAAGCTTGCATATAAAATCAAAACGCCAACCTATACGTATGACCAATCGCCCATACAAATGCATCGCTTAAATATTTTCCATTCACGTTTAGGTTGTGAAAAACATTGCTAGCTTAAACTCCCTAGTATTTAATCCCCTGAACGTCGTAAACCTGTTCAACGCCGTATACGTTCAAAGAAAGATTAATTTCTCGGAATTCTTTGGAAATTCTGGGAATTTCGGGAATTGAAGTCCCTGGATGATATGTAAAAATTGTATTGTTAATCTTATCAATATTTAAAGATGATCGGGCTAGAATTGTAGAAACTTGATTTTCGTGCTCTCTAGAAAGTTTGAGAAGTTCTAGACCGTATTCAGACGAAATGTCGAGACGTAGTGATAGAGGTATATCTGCATGGTATGTTCAATGTTTGTCCGAAAGGAAATGGACCATATTCTGGCAAGACGTCGAAATAAATGAGTACTTACAAATCTCCCGCCGAAAATACTGGGTATAACGCCGTAAACTTCCGGTCCTAAAGGATTGGGTTGTGAACAATGACAAATTCCAAAACATATAAACGAAAAGAAAGAATTAAATTTTAGTTGACCTACATTTAATCCAGGGCCTTCTGAAGGTGTCTTTAGCTCTTGTAACCAGTTGTGCAGTTCGTAATCATCTAAGATCTTCTGTGGTGTGTCGTATATACCAGATACGACTGCCTTCACATATTTCTCTATGGCTCCATAAACGAGAAGAGCATCGTCCCTGTAGTGGTAGTTAGGCAACGCATCTGCATCATCTACCTGAAAAAAGATCAGACATATGAAGGCTATTTTTTTCAATATGGCAACTAAGTTCATCTACAGTTAACATCAACACCAAGAGCGATAGATATATCTCACAACGTATCTGTCATATTCAATCCACATGCATTAAAATGTAATAAGTCACTAAAAGTATCCTCAAAAAATCATGACTATGAATACATGAATGGTAAGTATAAAATGGCAAAAATTGTTCAGTGTCGTTTTTTTACCAATCATTCATTAATATGATTAGTAAGTAAAAATGTCAACGCACATACCCCTCGAATTTTTAAATTATTGGGCAAAGTTCCCTCCTGGTCTAGCCTCCATTTTGCCCATATTCGGCTGACAATGTTAAACAAGCCAGTCCTCCCTATAGTCATTGTATTGTCCACCCAGCCTCCTGGTGATACCAGCTTGTTCAGGGCTCGACTTCAAGAAAAACGGGATATGATAATAAGATGACAGCAAGCTATATGCGAAAACTGTGATATCTTAGACTGGTAGTGTGGCATTTGGGATTTTGGAAAATCTGACAGATTAGTAATTACAGCAACTACTATTATCATTTGGTGCGCATGTCTATCCGTTTATAAGAAGCAATCACTTATAAAACGTTGGGTGAACCCGGCCTTATCGGTTTAGACAAGACTTGAAATATTAGAAGAAAACTATTCATATTCGGTGAGAAAAGCATTGGAATTGAATTGAAAATAAACACTTCTATAAGTATAATTGTTTTGCGAAGCACAAAATTTCGATTCACTTATACTTATAACGTATAGCTATACGCATAAACATAAGTTATGCTTTCACTTATGAGCGAAATCTCTCTTTTAGTAAAATCTTACCTGTTTATAGCGATAAGGTAAAGGAAATGCGGGGCCAGTAAACGGAACAGTGGGTGTGACGGAGATAGTTGACGATTGGTTACTACAGCAACGAACTCCATCACCAAGTGTGTTAATCCTGAAATTGTGTGTCAGCGTGTCCATGTGTTAGTTAATTAATACAAACAAAATGCACTGCAATGCTGTTAGGAGGATATTAAATGCAATGTTGATGGTGTAGTAAGATGGTTAAGAGCATCGATATAAAGATTAGACTTCGGTATTAAATCAAACATTTCCATTGATATGGAATGAAAGTCTAATTGTTAAGTTGAAAATAATTCTGACTATATCAGGAAAACAAAGAAAGGCTACAAATGACAATGCAGCATAGAGTCGGAAATACCTAGATGAACAGCAGCCTGATGATAGGACGCATCAGAGTTGTTGAACCACATCTTGGCCAACATCCACGTGTATTCGGGGTCAGATGGCAAGAATATCTGAAATATGAATACATCTTCATGTTTCGCCAATAAAAAATGGAACTTTTGGGGTCAATTTTCGCCACTGTTGTCAATTTCAATTTTATTGATTAGACTTCTGGAGACAAAAGTCTACATGAAGGATTCGGTAAATCATGAGTGAAATAGTGACTGTTAATTTTCATGATAAACCTAATTTACAAATTGTACCGAGTGACTCTATCGAGGAATCCTATACTTCCAGTGTCTCTATTTGATAAAATCAAATGGTGATGTTCACTACTAACTGGGTAAATAGCTGACGAAATCGCCCATGTTACTTTATACTTACAGGGTTGGTATCTGAGGGATTCTGGTTGAGTTGCATCCCGATGCAAATGGCGTCATCATTTTGACACTTCTAACTCTATAATTCAGGGTTTGTACTTTGTATTCAATGTCATTAGGAAGCACTATACTTACAGGGTTCGTATCTGAGGGATTCTGGTTGAGTTGGATGGCAATAGGCATCAATTTTTGTTTTTTGTCCACGTAGAATAGAGCAAGAGGGGCACACAACTATGAAATAAAAGGACACAAGTTGTTTGAAGATGTCGATAACACATAAATGAAATCCAACCAATGCTAAAAGAAGAGATGAGTTTTGACATTTATATGTGTTTACTAGAATTATACATCATATTATTCCATAATACTACTGTTTTCCCTGGGAAATAAAATCATATTATCCCTCTTAAAATCATATATACTCGAAAAATAATATTGTCCCTCACCCTGTAAAAAATCATATATACTCGAAAAATCATATTGTCCCTGGAAAAAATCATATTGTCCCTATTTTTTCAAAAAAAGGTTTTTTTCAAAAAAATCATTTTTTCCAAAAATTGATTTTTCCCATTTTTCCAATTTTCGAGAAAAAATTTCAGAAATTTTCATTTTTTCAAAAAATTGCAATTTTTCAAAGATTTTCATTTATTTAAAAAAAATTCAATTTTGAATCAGTGTTTCATTTTTTCAAAATTTTTTCAATTTTCTTGAAATATCTTTTTCCTTAAATTCTCAAAAATTAAATTATGGAATAAAAAGGTTATTTCATGCTTGATTTTCAATATGAATTTTATTCCACGAGAAATATGACATTGACCTCGGTAAATATTATATTGACACTCACTCGCTACGCTCGTTCGGTCAATATCATATTTCCCTCGGGCAATATCATATATATCATATATATATTTCTAATGGTGTATTTTAGAAACCATAGGAAAAATCTTACTTTTCTATTTTCTGAGCACTTAAGGCCCTCTAATATCTTATAGTCCACAATGTAGATCTTCTTATTATCCAGGCAGTCTTTTAAGGTTTGTCCTTCGAGGAATGGTTCAACCATCTCTGGTGTTACCGGAAAACTAGAAAAGTTCATGAACAGTGGTACAATTATTGTCATTGAATAACTACATTATCAATAACATTGATGTAATGAAAATAATGAAGGTAGTTATGTGTACGTTAACATTTTTGATAATGCCTCTGTCCTGCCTGATCTACGAAAACCGTACGACAGCCGTACCTTCCCCAAATCGAAATATGCAGCATAAAATATAGGGATAGGCAGTACGATGAAGATCATCTGTATCAATTTTGTGAAGCTACGGCCGTCGTATGACCACCGTAGAGCAAATGTGACAGAGGCTTAGACTTACTTTTCAGGGATACTTTGACACAAGCATATTGACATTGGATTACAGCCAGTCAATCTTTGTGATCCGAACTCGACGTCTTTCTTCCAGTTTTTAAGACCCTAATACAAAAAATAACAAGATTGTTCCATAGGTTTAATTTTAGTCAAAATGGTGTTAGACTCAAAGAATAAACATTTTCAGCGGTTGTACTTTTTGGTGATTACATAAAGGTTATATCCTGGGAGGTTTTTGAAACATGGTTTATTCAAGAGATTATGTGTATATCCCGAGAGATCGCAGGGACCGAGGGAGATACACATATTTTCCGAGGGATAAACTCTCTATCCAAAACCGACTGTACATAATAGATGTGTTCCATATCTACTGAGGTTCTAGGTACATAATATCTCAAAAATTTAAAAACTTAAATAAGGTACGAATTTTCTTTAAAAAATCTTAAAAGTGATCCAAAGCACAATGGAAGTTTATTGTTGCTTGTTAAAAGTGCAAATTTCACTCACGTCGGGTTCTCTAAATTTTGAGTCATAGACATTTTTAAGATCGTCCAGGGTTTTAAATTCTCCAGTCATCAAAAGCTTCAGTTTTTCGAAGCCAAGTTGTAGCTTTGTCTTTTGTATGTCCCACTATAATAAAATACGACGATCGTATTATTGATATAAATGTAAAGTAAATGAGCATAAGCCATATTATTCCATAGTTAGCATGATATTCATAGGATAACATGTGAAAATAAAAACGGTATTTTTGTAATCAGTGGTAAAATATGATATTTTTGACAAATTTTCACTTAACCATAGCATACGGTTTTTTAGCCATGACATACGGCGTCGTATGCGATGGTTTATGGATTTTTGCTACTTCAGACTCAAAACGAGGCTAAGTATCAACATCGCCGGATCGTTTGGAAAATTCGAATTAAATCATTTAATTTCCGACGATTCTGATGATGACTTTAACTATGGAATAAAAAGAACATCCTATGATTTACTCGTGATATGATTTTAATCCACTCATGGATATTGATATCTGCACTCTCTCGCTACGCTCGCTCGTGCAGATATCATATTCATTCGTGGATAAAAATCATATCACTCATAAATCATAGGATATCCTCTATTGATTTGAAAAAAAAACTGCTTGCCACATAATGGATAGTAATAGCACACGGCTATATGTATTTGGTATATGAGGATAAACTATCACTTGCAGCTGAGAATGACATAAATATTAGACATCTATACCCTTTGCATTCGTTCGTCTTCGCCTCTTTTTAACAAAAAATTAATTAAGAGAGCTTCGTCTCCACTCTTTCAGTTTACAATAGTAGTACTTAATAACTAGACTCTGAGCGCAGGGTAGGGCATCTACCCTTTGCATTCGTTCGACTTCACTTCTTAAAAGAGAGCTTCGTCGTCGTTTAACTAGACTCTACACGCAGGGTAGGCATCTATTAAGACAACAGTAAACTGTTCTCTACAGAAACGTGAATGACACACAAACACCATTCTGATACTCATTGCAACTTTCTGTTTCACCTGACATCTCAGAGCTGAGAAGAAATGAGATGTCATGGTTTATCATGATGCACAAACATATACAATATAAATTGAGAACCAACTAGAATGCATTTCATTATACCTTGTAATCATTGGAGAAGGATTCATCATCTGGCATCGTAAGTACCTGAAAAACAAATCAGGTCAAATGTCAAGGTCTGTAAACGCGGACCACAATCATGGAGGATTTCAGTCGTATTGACATATCAGATACCAACTACAGTATGTGTTTTTAAAGTATGCGCTAAGAAGTTTCAACAAAACTTATACCTGCGCTGAAAGTCCTTCCTGTTGGACTTTCAGTTGATATTTTTCCTGTTTTCTTGCAAGTTCCTTCTTCCTTTGTTCCAGATGTTTATCATGTTGCGGCAAAACGCAGTCGAACTCCTGAATCTGAATTCGAAAGTTTGCAGGAATCCAGCGATGAATTGGGAATACACTCCGGTCCTTGTCCTTGCAGCGTTCTATGACAACCTTCTCTACATACCTAAAGAATTAAATTGGACAAAAACAAAGCATTTAATTGAAAAGTTTTGATTTTAAATGTAATGTTTTCTGTCATGAATTGATTTCAAATATTCAAACAAGAAATGTGAAAACAATAATACCGACATTTTGTTAAATATAGGTAATCATGAAATGAAAATTCCCATCGCTGTTTATTTAAAATTTTGCTTTTATGTTGGACATTAATTGGAGCATTTGAATGTAAAACGTGCAAATGTTAAATATAGAATTCACTATCAACTATAGCGGAATTACTTTGAGTACATAAGTAACAGCAATTATTGTAATCGTTCTTGACATGCCATGAAACGATCTTAGTAAAAATAACTTTATCATAATGTGTACAGTGATACCTGTATATCCGAAAACCTCTCTAATCCGAACACCTCTCAATTTGAATACGGCTAACCAGTCCCAATAGCGTTCGGATAAGACAGGTTTAACTGTTTTGATTGAATTATAGTTTGATTAAATTATACAGTGCAACTAGCAATGTATATATAGACTTGTATATTAGACTTGTGCATTGGTGCGTCCGTACTTGCGTGACTTATATGACTCTGGCACAGTGTTACATCCACATACGAATATAGAATAAATCATATGTGAACGAAAAATGGGACGATTTACCAGTTATCATGGGAAAATGTGTTATCCCTCCAAATGTCTACTTCAGTGATGTGCTTTAAATCCGGACAGTCTTTAATAGGGAAAGTGTCTGTTCTTCCAGCCTCAAAGTCATTCCGCCAGGCAGCGTCGAGCTTTACATCTTGTGACCTTTTCTCGTCTTCGTCGATCATAGAAATATAAACCTATAAGTAAGAAACCATAACACAATTCATTCATTTAGAATAGTTTTAGATTAGAATATTATTGCATTTACACAGATTCTGGGATAGTTTAGCCACGAGCAGTCGTGAGCCACTGTATTGGTTAAGTAAATAAGGGGCGAGGTCCAGACTCTTGAAGAAAGACTATCCAAAGTCACTGGTGATCCACTCGATTACGCTGGTTACCAAAACGGTTCGTTTTGGTAACAACATGTCGGAACATCGAAGGTACAATTTTTCTTTTTTCCTTATTTCACACGTTGTAGGGAGTATTCCCACGACATTTTTAACACAAACGTGTATCAGTATCATTTGCTTAAGAAAATGTACATATTTGCGAACAAATAGTTCAGAAGACAACAGAACCATCGATTTAATTCCTCACTTAAGTTACATAAACGGTTTTTCGAAAAACAGTTAAGATCTGCACTTTTAACCCAAACCGTTTATGTAACTTAAGTGAGGAATTAAATCGACGATTCTATTGTCTTCTGAGCTATTTTTTCGCAAGGATGTACATTTTCTAAAACATATGATGCTGATACACGTTTGTGTGAAAAAACGTCGCTGGGATTCTGCCTATAACGCGTGAAATAAGGAAAAAAGAAAAATCGTACCTTCGACGTTCCGACATTTTGTTACCGAAACGAACCGTTTCGGTAACCAGCGTATTCGAGCGGATCACCAGTGAAAGTGAAATTAAAACCTGCACTTAGTGTTACTATTTGATTACAATGGAAGACTCGGCGTAGACTGTTGTACCCCTCGCCATTATGTACGAGGGAACTACTTAATTTTAATACTCACATTTCCATCTGTCCCAGCTCCTTTTTTGTCTCCTGTTTTAACGTACACGTTATAATCGGCATCACCATTGTTTTTACTGTTGAACTGGCCCATTCTTTCTCGATCTGAGCTAACGTTTGTTATAACGTTTGCAAGTAGTGCTTCTTACTATTTTACCAATTAGTGTCAGCATAACACTGCTACAATAAACCTACAATAACAAAGTGGTTGAACATTACAGCATTAATATTGTATTACATATTACAATATTGTAGTACCCTTTTCAATATGATTTTGTCTTCTTTTATCCTCTGAGTTTGAGATATTCATTTTTCTAGCCTCTGCCAAACAAAAAACTGAGGAAAGGCCTACCCCCTTATCACACCATGACCAAACTAGTTCTTTCCCGTTCTTGCCAGTCCTACGAAAACGTCGTAAAACGGACTCAATCTGGCTGTGGTCGGGAAATCTGTCTAAAATAATTAGCTACTTCGTCATAAGCAGCCTTCAATACGTCCATCTCATTCGCAGTTCGTTCAGGTCGCACCACGTCGGTGTGCAACGTCGTATAACGCGTCCCTTAGTGTATAAGGTCTGACCTGATTACAGAACGGTATGGTCGCCATCGAATATTGAATCGATTCAAAATTCTAAATCACATTCCCCGTCCGGGAAAGTCCATGAAGTTCGTAAACAGACCGTAGAACGTTGTAGCTACGTTCATTCAGTTCGCACACAGTTTAAAACCGACTCGGCAACGTTTTGAAGAACGCAGTGACAACTGGTTCTGGTGTGATAGCTATTTTTGTTAATACGTTCATAAGCTACAAGCGGACTAGATTGGGGTACTCGCGGCTGCAACTTACGCCTGACTACACAACGTAATATATATATTTTTTTTTATTTTATTTATTTATTCTTATTTAATCATATCTTTACAATAGGTTACAATAAACGGGTGACACATAATGTGTATATTCCCGTGTTTTATAATAATACATGAACAGATGGGGGATCTGCTTGTGCAATAATGCATACTATTTGTTTCTGCTTAAATAGTGTGTGTCATATTAAGCCCGCAAATCATTATAAAACTAACATAGACTATGAATGATACTATTGATTAAGAAGGTACTTTTTGAGTTCTTTTTTCATAATGAAGATGCTTTCAGATGATTTCATTTCATCAGTTAATTCATTCCAAATTATCGGTGCAGTGAAAGACAACATAGCTCTACCATAATTTGTTCGTACTTTGGGCTTGTCATAAGAACACTTGTTTCGGGTGTTGTAATTATGTCTCTCCTGGATAGTTTTAAAGAGGTTTGGGAAAATTTTCTGATAATTATCAAGTTCATTAATCCATTTGTACATAAAAAGGCATTTCAATTGCTTGTTTATGTCAAATATATTTAGAATGTTTAGTTGTTTGAATAAGGGAAGAGAATGAGCTCGATAATCAGAATTTGTTGCAATGCGTGTGAACTTTTTCTGGAGACGATGTAGTGAATTTAATATACCTTTACCCGCTTCACCCCAAATAACATTTCCGTATATCAGATAAGAATATATAAGCGAGTGATAGATGCTCAAGAATCCTTTATTATTCAACAGATGTTTAACCCTATATAGAATACCAATAGTTCTAGAGATTTTTGCACTAACAGATGTAACATGGCGCTTCCAATTTAAGTTCTGATCAATTGTTATACCTAGAAAATTTATGTGATCAACTTGTTGAAGCTTCTTTTTATTTAGAAAAATGCTTATATCATTTGGATTATATCTTTTTTGAGTTGAAGTAGATATAATATATTTTGTTTTGTCAGCATTAAGGGATAATTTATTAGTAATGAGCCATTCCTCTATTTGTTTTAATTCAGTATTGAGAATATCTGCAAGGTCACTTAGATCTTTCCCTTGTATCAATAAATTGGTATCATCTGCGAAAAGCACAAAAAATAGTCGTCGAGAAGAAAGGTAGATATCATTGATGTATAGGATAAAAAACAATGGTCCGAGAATTGAACCCTGGGGGATTCCGCAGGTGATCAATTCAGGTTCTGATAAAGTATCTTTGTATGATGTTTTCTGAATTCTTTGAGTAAAATAACTTTTAATCCAATTGAGCGCAACTCCTCGAATGCCATAAAATTCAAGTTTACTAAATAGAATGTTGTGATCAATTGTATCAAAGGCTTTGGAAAAGTCAAGAAATAGTCCTATTGTAAATTCACCATCATCAATTGCTTTTCTAATCTTTTCAATAAAAGTCAAGACAGCCATGGAAGTAGATCTTTTTTCCCTAAATCCAAATTGGTTAATGTACAGAATGTCAATTGTATCTATGAATGTAGTAATTCTACTGTGCATAATCTTTTCCAGAATCTTAAAAAACACGGGTAAAACTGATATTGGGCGATAATTTGTGAAAAAATGTGCGTCATCTTTTTTATATATAGGAATAACCTTTGCTATTTTAAGTCGATCTGGGAAAATTCCGCTTGTGAGAGATAGATTAAAAATATGTAAAAGAGGACGGTGAAATAATGATCCACATTCTTTAATGATAAAAGGTTTAAGGTCATCGTGTCCCGCTGCAGAAGGTTTTAAATTTTTTATTATTTTATTCAATTCATTGACTTCAACTGGATCTAAGAAAAGAGTGGCGGCTTGTCTCCCTATTGTTTGCATAAAGTCTAAAGAGTTTTTATTTGATTTTGGTATTTTTGCTGCTAGTTTTTCTCCAACGTTTACAAAAAAATTATTAAATTGATTAGCTATTTCCTGTTTATTTGTTATTTCAACATTATTTTGAAGGAAAGTATCTGAAATATTGTTATTTTTATTTTTCCTTTGAAGAATATCATTTATTATTTGCCAATTTGCCTTAATATTGCCCTGATTATGTTCAAATTTGTTATTATAATACTGTTTTTCAGACAATTTTATGATGGTTTTTAACTGATTTGCAAAAGATTTGTATTGGTTTTTGTTTTGATCATTTGGATTTCTAAGATATTTTTTATAGAGCTTGCTTTTATTTCTAATTGATTTAAGTATTGCTGATGTTATCCATGGCTTCTGGTTATTGTTATATAATTTAATTGTAACTTGTTTTAATGGGAAACATTCATTAAAGATACTTGACAACTTATCCTCAAATTTATCATAAGATTCGTTTGTATCAGTGAGTTCAGTAATATTATCCCAAGTTTCATGTGAAGTTATTTCTTTGAACTTTAGAATATTTTCTTTTGTGTAACTTCTAATTGATTTTTTTATAAACTTAGTTTTGTTGATAGGTTTATCAGAAATAGCAAAAATTGGAAAGTGATCTGAAATATCATTATAAATTATACCACATAAGTCAATCTTTGGATCGTTGGTGAAAATATTATCTATTGAAGTAGCAGATGTAGAAGTCACTCTAGTTGCTTTATAAATCACGGGCAAGAGGTTATACGCAGTCATAGTGTTATAGAAACTTTCTGTAAGATCATGTTCAAATGATTTAAAGAGATCAATGTTAAAATCTCCAGCAATGTAATTTAATTTGTTATTTTCTCTTGAAATATGTGACAAATAAACATCAAGATCATTGTTGAATTCTTCAACATCGACATTAGGTGGTTTGTAAATACTAGTGACTAAAATATTCTTCCCATGCTCTACAATAATTTCTATAGTTATGACATCACAATTTTCATTATTGAATATAAGGTCAGTTCTTTCTTTAGTTTTAAGTGAACTATGAATAAAGAGACCAGCCCCTCCACCTCTGGAGGTACGAGATTTAAAATATCCTTTGTAATTCATAAACTGAGAAAAAGTAGCCTCTTGATCTTTGTATAACCATGTTTCGGATAGTGCAATAATAGAGATTCTCTTATCGATTGATGCCAAAAGATTTGTCAACTTCCAATGATTTGATGGCAAACTGCGAATATTACAATGGATGATTGACATATCTATATTATTCTTAGAATTGAGATTGTCGTTAAAATTAGAAAGTGTTACATATTCACTTTTTGCCATGAAGTCTTTTGTAGTTTGATCAAAGTCTGGGGCATCAGGATCGTCAACTTTCATATCAAGTGGATTGAATATTTTATTTTCAAAATTATTCATTGAAGCACCATTTGGAACAGAATCAATAAATTCACTATTGTCTATGATTGAAAAGAATGGGAATTCAGTCCAGGGGCATGACACATGTAGATTTAAATCATCCAGTATCCAAAAACAGAAGCATTATACACACAAGCAGACCCCCTTTAATATTGTGATTTTTCTTGCACGTTGATAATTGCAAGAAAGAAAGAGACATGGGTGCAGTAGTAATTTGGTACTCTGCATGTAATTTAATAAAAGTTGCAAAATAATGAGAAATTCAGGAACCAGCACAAAGCTTGAGTGTTACATGCTGGTCACAAGATGATATATATGCATTTCCAAAGTGGAAAATATGTACATTTTAGATATTGTTCATTAATAATCAAACAATATATTATTACACAATTCTACACAAGTCTTGTTTGGATGATCAGCAATTAAATAAATAAATAAAATAAAGTATAATCCAATATTGGATTTATAAATGGTCTATTGGAAAAACAAAACATGGGAGTGGAATTTATCATTCTCAATTATATACAGAGTAAGGCAACACTATAATTAGCAAACCTGCCAATTGAAAACCAAATAAAAAATAGAAAGACTACCATTTCAATGCTTTTGACTCAAAAATCCTTTACAAAGCTATGCAATATAGTTGTTAACAGTCTGGGGCAATCCTGCAAATTTAAGATTGTAATACGTCCCTAGCAGGATTGAAGTACGACACTTCCGTTCGTAGTGTGTCCCCAGTGCGTTCAGGTCGTCTTAAGTACGTTGTCACTCGTTCTGATTGCAGAACGTGACGATCACCAGAAAATTTTGAGCGTGCTCTAAGTTCTGGAGGACCTACTCGTTCGAGTAATTTCATGAAGGTTGTAACAGATTCCAAACGGTTCTTAGTGGGTTCTTAGTACGTCAAATCCGTTCGTGCACAGTTTAAGCCCGTTTTCGAGAACGCAGTGAGATCTAGTTTGGTGTGATAGTAAGGTAACAAAATCTTCCCAATCATAAATTGTCATTATATGGCCATGGCTATAACATGTATGAGTACATGCAAAACTATCTCTTGAAAGCCCAAGATATTACTAATCA